AAAAAAAAAAAAAACCCTGATATCTTTCTGAAATAAAGAGTGCTATTCTTTAGTGTTCAGACTTTCTCTCTTTTCCTTAAAAGAAAAGATTGTTTAAAAAAATAAAAGCAGACTTTTTAAATCCTGAGTGACCTCTTGACACTTACTTCTTTGAGGCCCTTAGAAGGCATTATCTGCTGAATTGAGGTTTTGCACTAGTATTAGTTTTCTATTGCTGTTTAAGAAATTCCTATAAAAATAGAAGCTTAAAACATAGATATCATCCCAAAGTTTCTGTTGGCCAGGAGTCTTGGCACAGGTTAGTAGGGTCTGTTCATGATCTCACGAAGTTGCAATCAAGGTATTCCCCAGGGTTGCATTTTTACCTAGAGGCTTGATTGGAAAAGGATCCACTTTTAAGCTCCCTTAGGTAGGTGTCATTTCTTTGTGGCCATATGATTCAGGGCAGCTTGCCTCTTCAAAGCTAGCAAGGAAGAGAAAATTGGAGTGAAGCCACAAGCAAGACAGAGTCTTAAATAAAGCAATGTCCTCATTGGAATGACTCCATCACCTTTTCCATTGGAGTGACTTCCCTTTACATTTGCCATATTCTGTTGACTAGAAACAAGTCACAAATCCCACCCATACTAAAGATGCAGGAAGTACATGAAGGTCTGGACATTAAGAGGTGAGGGTCAGGAAACTGTCTTAGGGTCTGTTTGTAAGATCTTCTAAGGATTTCACCAACCAGATAATACAGAAAAATATTGGATTGTTTCTAAACTCCTTTGAGTAAAAATAAATGGTGAATTTTATCTCCTTAATTTTTGTATAAAGACATGGTAGCATTAAAGAAGTTTGGAGTTAGAGAACCTGACAAAGACTGAATATCTAACCAATAAGCTGACTGAGAAATTGAATCCAAGACTATTATTGACCTCTCCATTTTGTCTTCTAGGTGCCTGGAATGATCAAAGGTGATTTTAAATGAAAATACTAGAGAACAAGCCAGTTATTTGCTTTTAAATTCTACTCAGGGAATCTGACAATATTCAAGTGAATTGGGTGATTGTTATATTGGACTTTGCCACTTTTGGCAGTTGCATTTTTAAGAGAGGAGAGCAGAAGGAATTCCCCAGAAAAGCAAAACATTGATTCTCAAAACTTAAAAAGCACAAAAGAAAATGATGAACCATGACCAAAAGTCAGGAAATAACAGAACAAACAAAATTATCAGAAGTTTAAGAGAAAAAAGTTGGAAAGAATATAAAACATATATATCTTAGGAATAGAGGATAACTTCCTCCACTTCATAAAGATCATCTACCAAAAACCTATGGCTAGTATCATAAATGTGGGAAACTAGATGCTTTCCCTCTAATATCAGGCACAAAGCAAAGAGGTTTCCTCTCATTACTCCTATTCAACATCGCACTGAGAATCTAAACTAGTGCAATAAGACAAGAGGAATAAAGTACACATACCCAAATTGGGAAGGAAGAAAAGAAACTGTGGATGATATATTTTCTATATAGAAAATCCTAAAGAATCAGTAACACAACCAAAATTTCTAGGATTCACAAGTGAGTACAGCAAGGCCATAACATGTAACATAAATATACAAAAATCAATTGCCTCCCTATATATCAGCAAAAGAAAACTGGAATTTGAGGTTAAAAAATATGATAGCAAAAAAATGAAATACCTAGGCATAAATCTGATATACTGTGGGACCTCTATGTAGGAAATTATAAAACCCCAGAGATGAGAAAAATCAAGGAAAATATATAGAGACAGATATTCTATGTACATGAATTGAAAGACTCAATAATTTTAAGATCTCAGTTCTTTCCAGCTTAAGCTATAGATTCAGTGCAATCCCAATTAAAATTCCAGCAAGCTGTTTTATAGACATTAACGATTGCTTCTGAAATTTATATGGAAAAGCATAAGACTTAAAATAGCCAATATAATACTGAAGAAGAACAAAGTAGGCAGAATCACAATACCCTATTTCTGTATTTACTGTAAAGCTATAGTAATCAATATGACATGGTACTGGCAAAAGAATAGACATACAAATCAGTGGAAAAGAAATAAGTACCTAGAAATAGATATATACAAATATAGTAAATTGATTTTTGACAAAGGAATAAAGTCAATTAAATGAAAAAAAAGATTATTTTTTTCTAGAACATATGCAAGATCTTATATGTTTTTCTTAAAAACTAATTCAAATAGACAAAGATGTAAAACACAAAATAATAAAACTTCTCTATGACAACTTTGGAAAATGACTAGATTTCCTAGGGTTTGGTGATGAGTTAGTAGATACACCACAAAGATGAACTATGAAGGAAAAAGTTTATAAATTGGACTTTATTAGTATTAAAAACTTCTGCTTTTTAAAAGATGCTGTTAAGAGAATCAAAAGGTAAGCCATAGGCAAGAAAGGATGCATGAAGTACTGGGTTAGCATTGGAGCCATATGTAGGCACTCAATATTTAAAAGGATTACATATGTAAATCTACATGTGTGCATACACATGAGTTGGCTTATATGCATACATTTCCATGCTCTTTCAGCTGAGAGGTCTGAAAGGTAATGACACCCTGGCAGCAATAAGTGCACCTGACAAGATCTTGATTTCTATTCCCAGCATTTTTTTTTTTT